CCCTGTACACCTCTGTTGTACAGAATTTTGGATATGGAGAGATGAATCCAGGCTTCCTCAGTCCCTACTGCTGAGCCACCTTGCATCCATGCCCATGATCCTGCACATACTGCCTGTGCTGATGTCACATTCTTCCTCCCAGCCCAAAATGGAATCACTGGATTGCTACCAGCTCCCCCTTTTTGAGCAAGAGGTTACCTGAAGTTTTAATTAATTAAAACAGAGCTTAGCTGCAAGAAAATCAGAGAGGAGAAAGAGCAGTCTTTTTGTGTAGATGTCTCTGCTCCAGCTGGAGCCATCACCTTCCATTACTCAGCTGCTTTTTTGGGAATTCTCCATGCCTTCCTCTATGCCCCCACACTAGACATGAAGAAAGCCAACCACAGTTCCTGCTGAAACATCGACCCTGCTTCTGCTGGAGGATGAATGAGCAGATGGGACCCATGGAAGATGGCTGAGCTGGAGAGCTGGACAACTGGAGTCCTTCCAATCCAGTAACTACAGCCCAAAAGGCTGRGGATGCAAAAATCCTTCAGGGTCAGAACCTTTTTCCTAGGGGTAGRAACAGGGCCAAGGAAGACAGGCAGGTGGTTACTGACAGGCTGTGCAGACTAACTCATGATTGCATGGCTGGTTTTGTCRTTCCCCAAATTCCTGCTTTGCTTGCTTATTCCCCAGTCAACCCACTGCACTGTTCCAGCAAAATAAGCACAATCTTGAAGAGTTTTGAAATTAATATGATGGGCTCGCAAGCATCTTCCGTCATGCAGAACTAAAATTAAAATGTACACCCGCCCTCGCCTCACTCCCTGAAATCCATCAGGCTGAAACTTCCCYGTGTCACATCAAGAGACTCCGACAGCTGAAGGGAGCTGATGGGAAACTGCATTTCCAGCTGCTACCAGGCTTCAAAGCAGGAGTCCAGCCCTACCACCACGTCGGTTCCAGCAGAACAGTCCCTGCCTGGGGCTGGAGACACAAGAAGTTTCCTCCAATACAAATGGACATGACAGAATCAGAGGAATAATGGTTTCCACACATTTTGGAGCAGGGAAAGGCAACCATCAATTTTTTTGTCAGGAAAAAAATTTGCTAAAGAGCTCATGCTTTGCCATCAYTCTGACAAAAGAGAAGTAAAAATAGAAATCTGGAGAAAAACAATTCAACCTCTGTAAAAATCTCAGGGAGCAGGTGGGAGCAAATACAAAGTTCAGGGAAAAAAACATGACACTGCACAAGGTGGGCATCCCCAAGGAGAAAAAGCTTCTGAGAATCATAGAAWTACARAAGGGTTTGGGTTGAAGGGAACCTTAAAGCTCATCTTGTTCCAAAGGGACAGCAGACCAGGTTGCTCCAAGTCCCTGGGGAACTTCCAGAGATAGGAAAACCACAGCTTCTYTGGGCAGCATGTTTCAGTGCCTCCCCACCCTCAAAGGGAAGAATTTCTTCTTAATATCTTATATAAAACTGCCTTTTTTCAGTTTGAAGCCATTCCCTCTTCTTGTATCACCCCATGCCCTTGTCCAAAGTCCCTCTCCAGCTCTCTTGGAATCCCTGAGGAGCTGAAAGGGGCTCTAAGCTTTCCCTGGAGCCTTCTTCAGACCAAACAACCTCAGCTCTCTCAGCCTGTCCCATAATTCCAGCCCTGTGATCAGCTTTGTGCCCTTTCATCTGAAACATCCTCGGAAGCACCTCCACTTTCCATGCAACATCAACAGAGAAGTTTTGGGGGGAAGATGCAACACTGCACTACCAGAGCAGAGCAAAACCCTGATAGCTGAGCTACAGCTGGTTTGAGGATCTGCAACTGCAGCTCAGATGAGCAGTTCAATCAGAGGGAACACCAGGACAGACACTGACTCTCAGCCCTGAAGCCTTTGTGAAAACCCCACTCAGCAGCAGTGCACCAACACGGAAAGTCAAGACATTCACAAGGTCTTGCTGCAAACCCCAACTGCTTTTYCTTTTCCTCATGCACGTGGCTGACAGCTCCTCCATGGCTCATCACACCATCAGGACCACAGCAAGAAAACTGACACCCTCTCAGACACCTTTTGGGACAGCAAACACAGCTGCCTGCACTTGATGGCTATTTTGGGTTTGAAATTGAGATGCAAATTGCTGCCAAAACAACCACCATGGGGGAGCTGTTGCTTTTTCTCTTGAAATGCAGAGACATTTTCCATTTCTTCCCTCCCCTTCCTTCCACTGATTTTACCACATTTCTTCGAGAAGGAAACTGCAATTGCG